TTAATGTTCAGGAGAAACGTCTTGTCTAAGAATTTGGTCGGCGATAAACAAAATCTTTACTGCCGGACATTCCTACTCGCTCGGTAATTCGTGATCATTAAGCTGCGATAATTTCGAATAGAATTTTCCTAGGAAAAGTAAAAATTCATTACAGTGCATTTGCAAGTCACCTTTTACAATTTGCACAATTAGAAAATCCGCGGAATGCGAATGCGCGGCTCCTTGTTTTCCCCTTGTTGTTGTCGTCGTCATTTGCGGATATTTTTTTCTTCCATCGATCGCCCAGATATATAAATGTATTATGTAAACTTGGTTACCGGTTTTCTAATGTTAGCAGCAGTAACTGCAACCGTTTTCCACGTCGGAGAGAGAGTAGATCCGGCTCGGCTCTCTTCCTCGCTTCTTCTCTCCTCTTCACTTCTCTCGATGGATGCAAAGCCAAATGACCTACTGACACTCGCCTGCGCCTCGGAACGAGTTACGTGTAGACCTGCCACATTTAGCTGACTCATAACTAGCCCATAAATCGTCCAAGATAATTCTCCACCGCGGGAGAAGAGAACTGAACAACGGCCAGACAGAACAGACCATGCCACTTAAATTGCTTTCCTCGAGATAACCAACTCACGGTTCAAATCTTCTGTTCTGCCTTTCCAAGAACCATTCCTCTCTGGCTATGCTTCGACGATGATGCGCTTACAATTAGATGCTAATTTGAAATCGGACTAGCGCACTCGGAATTCAATACACCGTTTCGCAAAAAGAGCTTTCCTCGTTTGAAAATATTAACAGTTTTCAATTTAACATCTGTTCATAAATCATCCAAACTATCATTTTTATCAGATTATAACCATAAATATTTGCATTACTATTATTCTAGAAAGATTTATGTTTTGATTTAATATAAGAACAATATTTATTACAATAATTAAATAATAATACAAATAGTGGATTGTTTTGTTTTGTTACGTTACTTAATTCTAAATTTTTATTTTTCATATATTATTAATCATCTAAAACTTTTTCTAAAATTATATGATTTAAAGTGAAATAGTAGAAAATTATTCATGTGAAAAAATGTAGATAATTAATAACAATACAATTGGTGACCATGTTATATTTTCAACATATTTGTTAAAAATATTTTAAATATCTCAACCAAAATAACTTGAAATTAAAAACTCAAAAAATATAACTTACAAGATTTGCTTAATTGACTTGTTATATAAATCATTTTCAATTAATGTTTTTCAATATTTTTTGGATGCATAAAAACCGTATCCAACAAAAATGAAACTCCTAAGTTTCTATTATTTCAGTTTATCCAACAATGATCATTCTCGAAGCAAATATTGTTCAAACGTTTCAAACAAAAACAAAGCATTCTCTCTATGAATAATGAAAACGAAACAAAGGTTAGATCCGCTAACAATGGACCTTTTATTTTTCCTTCTTTCTTTCTTTTCTTTGCATAATCCCAATTTAGATCCGGAGGAGCGATAGAAAGCAGCGCCCCAGTGTGAGGTAACTCGGATTGTCTCCATCGTGCGTTTTGCCGGTTTGCCGGATTTCCGGGTCACAAAATTCAAATGTTCGCAACTCGTCTAATGCACGTTTTCTCTCCACTTTGCGATTACCTCAATTAAAGCATGCACTGCCTTTAATTAAAAGCGTATCAAGGCTTCTATCTGCTCCGCCAAGTTAATAGAGCATCCGAGATCTTGAAAACCCATTCGCCTAACATCATCTACTCTAACTGTACTGAGACACAAACGTGAATAATAAATTCAAACCATCATTTATTTTGTTTATAATTACTTTGTGTGCTTTTCGAGATCCTAAATGATTGCCATAAACACAACAATAAATATTCAGTGTTTGCTGCATTTTGTAACATTTGGTAGAAATTATATAACATCGATTAAGTTTGAAAAAAATATAAGTAAAATTTGGCGTATTTCTGTAAAATCATTAACAAGTACTGCAGCTCTGTGTTTCACGTTATTTGATATTGAATAAAACTAAATGAATTGTGCGGTTTATGTTTATTCAAATTTTATGTTCTTGATTTGTCCGGTTTCGAAACCATTTAATGAAAGATCAAGATCATTCGGTTAGTTTTATGAATGTAGGTAATCCGAAATAAAATTCAAAGTCAATGACATAATTCCATAAGAATTATTTAAGAGCAAGATGCACATTATTAGTGGTAATTGATGCAACGCAACGTGGACTTTCTAAGTGCAGAAATGCATTGAGATTCGCGCTCCATTTGCAACCACACGATGTGCTCCGTCTACATAATCTCACGTTATATTTTGCGCTTCTCGAAGAAGCCAGATATTTCCACCTATTGCATATAAATTATGCGAGAAACGAGGAAGATCGAATGACACAACACAACGGCCGCATCTATTCATTAAGCGAGATAATCCAAGCGCGAGATTTTTCTTTTCACATAATTTCGTGTAATTACGTCAGTCATTATAGGTGTTGCGAAGTCGGGAATGCATTGGACTCGATCTTTATTTAATAAATGAACATTGCAGAAGTCCTATTTATTTGTTGCATAACATTTCTTTATTACTATTGCTTGGACTAGAACTGAATGAAACAGATTTCAACGAATGGCAAACAAACATAAAATATATATTGAAGTTGTGCATAGAACTAGAATGAGTGGCGATCAGAAGTAAACCGGAAGCCGTTAACCTTTTACCACAAAATAAATGCGTATAATTACATGATTCGGTTTTGCGAAATGAAAGTGCCGTCGATTTTTCAGGATGCATTTGATGACAAATGAAATGGTGGAAACGCGCCGTATGAAATGAGCATTAGGAAGAAACGTGCAATTTCCTCTCTGTGTGCAAATCCTAATTTGAATACTTTGCGCCCATTCAATTTCTAATTCGATATAATAATCGATTTCAATTCGGCCTACTTTCTAGGAGTCCGTGAATCTATTGACCACAGTTCGCTTCGTTTAGTTTTCATTCAAATGCACTTATCAATGTTATTTCAATTAATTGCAATGCTTTACAATTTCTTACTTACATTTATTTGAATAAATTGATTAGCTTTAGAGTTAAATTATGTTTTTCAACATTTTTTATTTGATGACATACTTGAACTTAAGTAAAACTACAGCGATACACTTATATTATGATTGAATTTATTTTTGCAATTATTACGAATATAGACGTATTACATATGTAATAATTTATTATAGTTTCCTAAAATCTATTTTATAAATGTAAATATAAATTTTAGAATTATAAATTTTGTTGCAATATATTGATTATGATAATATTCATAATGTTTTTTTTTTGGAAATTAAAATAATGAAGCAAGCCTTTTGGAAATATTTGTATAATTAGCCTGAATAAATAAGGCAACTTATTATTCTATTTCATTTGTATTATTCAAATTAACCTCAATCCAGTTCCGCCAAATTAAGTATCGTAAATCTTATCCGCGCTCGAATCCGAAAACCAGATTCTTCTCCATATGCATACAACTGACATTATTTTTCTATATTAATTAAACGCTTTCTTGGCCTAGCCTTAGAAAAGCCCACGCGACGGGACAAGAAATCAACGGACATTATCATATTTCACTCCCATGTAATATGTGTGTTCCCTTCCTATATATTAGCATTGAGCCTTCACGATTATAAAGAAATGCTAGAGCGTGTACCGAGAAACAAAAAGCAAGGCTACGAAAGTCGTGTCTCCCAAAATAAAATAAAAAAAACAAAACAAAAGAAACAAATGATCCCACCCTTGTTACGCTGATCACATAAATTCGTTACGCAACAGAAATCTGTGAACAATTACGAATATGAAAATCGCTTACGAGAATCTAGCTGCAATGGTAGAGGGGCTTGCCAATCTTGGCGAGAGAAGATAAATCGTTGATCGCTGTGCGCTTGCATACTCGAAGTGGGTCATTGGTTGTGTAAGATTTTGCTTTGTAATTTTGTTTTTGGTTGTTCACAGCTCATGACAATACTCTGCTTTGAACTAATTCAAACAATTGGATTATTGTTTTATTATGTTTTTACCACTTTTTGATCAAATATTGATATAAATAATTGTTAAGTACATTTTGTTACACTATTAGTGAAAAATGAAATACTAAATATTTATATGAATCTGTTATAGTTAATTCTCTATATCTATAATTGTATTGTTTGTATTAAATATATACAAGCAGGATTTTCAATTCAAAATCAATAATATAAACTCATTATCTAAGATAATTTGTTAATTAACAAAGCTCATTTAAATATAATTGTTCACAAAACAATTGTGTATTTCATTAACGTAATTTGCTGGATCGATGTTCGTTATGATCTTCAGCTTAATGAATAGAATTTTAATACTAAAGTTGATCGTTATCTACTTCATTAAACTTCGTCAGATCATTCATCCAAGATGTATTTACTAACAAATCAATTGCCAATTACTTGCAATGTTTTCACATACGAACGAAGAGTTAATAAATCATTCGGTTTGACCACTTGAAATGTAGATTACGTGTGAGCGAATCATGGAGATCCCGTGTTATTAATTGATTGATCTGCGAGATGCAGACACGATGTGGACGTCCGATCCATTTACCACACGTGGAGTGCAGTGGCATGGGGCAAATGGATTTTTAAAGTCGCGTATTCGGAATGCAGACGTAAACCCTCTTCTGCCTGCTCCGCGGTATATATTCACCTACTTGCAGATTCCACGCACAATGACTGATTTATCTTCCTATTTACCGCACGCGGCGCGAACATAAATGGAACTTTAACTTGATCCTAAAATATTCCGCATATTTAATTCCATTCCATTACATTCTCAACCGAACAGGAAAATGTCTTCACTACAAGAAAACCGTTCGTTTTATCCGGTATAATAACCATCATCAGTATGCTCGAACTGAACGTTCCCAATCGAGTGACCAGCAGTCAACAATAACCTAACGATTTTATTTCTTTGTTTCAGGGCGATGTTGATACGATTACAGGCGGCCCTGGCGGTCGTCCTCCTGGTCGTTCTCAGGATTTCTTCGACTCAGGTAAGCGTAACTTACAAAATAAGATTAGGTTCAAAAGAAATGGATGACATCATAGGGAATTTAAAGATTCTTCTCTTAAACAGTAGACATATCTGCTCAAGAGATACAATCTCTTTAGAAAGCATTCACGAGCTCTCACAAACTTTAATTATAATGTAACAACGGCATCAGAATACATGAGAAGACGGAAAATTGCGTTACGCAACGACACCGTTCTTGTTGTTCGTAACTTGTAATTCCAGTAGGATCGTCTGAGAGTTTACTTTATTAATTATTTATATAATTCGTGTGCAATTTCAATATTGTTTTCTCTGTGTTACAGGAAACGGCGAATCTATTCACATGTCCAAACGGTGAGTCAACATTGCATTCTTAACGTGATTCTTTTTTTATTCTTATTTTTATTCGTCGAAGAACAAGGACATACAATCACCGAAAGATATATATATGTTTGTACAGACTTGAGATTGACTCAATCGAGTCTGTTAATCAGTTTTAAAGAATTTAAGGTGTTGCATTTTTAACGACGCGATGACTAATTTATGAGTGATTCAAAGCTCAATTATCTTAAGAGAAAGAAAAAAAACAATATTATATACAGAAAAAAAACTGGTTTTCAAATATTCATTTCTCAGGATACATATATTTATTTATATTGTACAGAATCAACATCCAAATAAAATTATTTATAATTTATATAATACAGTCGCTTAACGAATTTAATCCGTTCCAAAATTTCCAGATTTTTACTCGTATAGTGAAACATATTCAAAAATACACATAATATGTGTCTTCTCACTCGACACTCGTTATGCCAAAGGTCGCTCGTTAAGCGAGTCATTTTTCTTGCAATTCATTTTGCTAGTTAAGTTAAATGCTCGTTAAGCGAGGTTCCACTGTATATCAATTTTGGTACTAAATATAACGAATTTTGATATACTAAAGTTAACTAAATAAATATTACTTGTATTCATTTCAAATTCGTTATTTAATATTGATTTATTGATATTTTATAATCTTATTATCAAAGTTATTAAATAATTTACTAAATTTGTGTGAATCTTCAGATGAATTTATTCCTTATTCAATGAACATGGGTTTTTATTTTTTTCCTATATATTTTTAAAGCGTAATAAAATTTCCAATATCAAAGCAATATATGCATGAAATTATAGTATACGACGTTAAATTACGTTAACCTACTTCTCTAATTTTACATTTACTAATTCGGAGTGACATTTCCTCTTTAACGCTAAATTAAACTGCACTTTTCTAATATATGTTTATGCTCAAATTATGCCAATGTATAAGCTACATTTAGAAAATGCCATTAATATTAATTAAAGGTCGAAGACTAATTTGTTACGTTCTCGCTCCACTTTCCTCATTTAATTTTAAACAGATTTGAAAAGTTTTTCCATTGAAATTTATCGAGAAATCAAATATTTGCACATTCATACAAGTATAAACAAATCAATTATTCTCATTAATTTATCCAGTTATTGAAATTTTAAAGAAGTTAAGCAACGTTAAACAATTCTGAATAGATGAGAAAAGAGACAATAGCATACATTACACTCGGAATTCGTGAGAAAATGGCTGATTCAACTAATATTTAACGTGTTAATTGAAAATTATACAATCAATAAGTATAAAAAATATGTCATATAAATTAGTTTTGAGATGGAACTTGATAAATAGAAAACATTTATTTACTTTATTGAGCAAGCATGATTTCTAAAAAAAATATGTCTGGTTCGAAAAACAGTATTTGCCTGTATCTTCTTGTTTCACACAAAAAAGACAGAAATAAATAAAACGTTTGCAGCGTAAGTAAATGAACTACTGTATTTGATCATCCTCTTTTACCTGTTTGAGCAATGGCTTTACCTTGCCCACACAAAGAGTGTTTGCACGTTCCGATTTTTACCTGAACGCCACGGGCATTTTCTTTTCATCTCGCCTACCTTCGAGGAAAATTTTCCTTTCCATGCAGCCTCCATAATATGTGTATACGTAAAGCAGAATTGAAATGCTCGCAAAGGTCACACGTTCGTAACAAATTTATTATCTGGTAAACAAGTCTTGGAATGTTGATCGCAGATGGAATTATGCAGTCCTTCATATTGGCATCCACTTTATTTTTGGCGCAGAAGTTCTCGCCGATCTACGGAAATCTGCTGCGGATCGTACCGCCTCTTCAGTCACATGCGGACACTCCTAAATACCTTACTGTAAATTCACATTGTGTGAGGTTTATTAATATACATTTCATGACACACTTACTTACGAACGAGCCAACATTTTACGTGTTTATATTTACTGTTTGCGTTAGCATACAGAATGTGTATCAATCTGCATCGAATGGAATTAGCTCCATTTCTCTTCCTCTTTTTTATTCATTCATTATACATTTTTTATATTCCCATTAATTCGTGACGCGGCGAACATCAGACTTCTTCTCGAGATGCTGCTTGTTGTAGATATAGATCCCGTTAAATCTACGGTTACGGCCACTCGAAATATTAATACTATGTATGATGGGAGTTCAGGTTCTTCAATGAATTTGAATAATTCGAGAAAGCCCTTCCAGCGATGAAACAAGTCTGTGAGCTGTTTTTTCTTTCATCCAGTTATTATGCAATACTTTAAAGTCAGTGCTTTGAAAACACTGGTATAACATTGACTCAATGTTATGGTAATAGTGCAGTAGTGTTCGAATGCCGTTAAATATACAGTTAAAACCACACAAATACCGATTGATATGCATATATTCAATCAATTCGATTTTCTGGATCATTGCCAAGTATTCTGTAAAATGCAAATATAAAAGATAAAATAAATACAGCAGTTTGAAAACATCTTCAAAAAACTTATTATCTAATTTAATTACAAGAAATGCAATCGCTTATTTTCATTTAATACAAAAAAAAGATAAATTATTTTTTAAGTTATATTCACCGTACTGTAATTTTCACAGAATTGAGGTATGCGGCTATTTTACGGTAAACAAAAAATCGTTTACATGTAGTTTGGTAACTTAAAGTAACGGGAATTGTCTGCCTAATGCAATATGTTCAAGTTCGAGCCGGACTTTATGTAATAAACTGAACTTAACTGTTCAAATTAATGTAGCGGACAACAGAAAGAACTTCTTTCGTTTTGGCAGTAAAAATTTGTGCAAAATTTGGGTCACAATTATTGTGCACACACAATATATTAAATACTCTATGTAGTCTGTTAATGAAGATACATTTTTTTAATGTGTTGATGGTATTAGATGTTTGTTTATATAATAACAATTATTAATGAGGTATAACGATGTTGCAAATGTTCCAAACCAATTAATAAAGTAGAAATTTCTCTCAGTGTCGTAACAAAAGCAATTTTTCGTGAATTTAACAACAAGTTGCTGTATTGTTTCCTCGACCATGAAGAATGTTAATGCATCAAGTTATTTAACAATCCATCCTCTCGGATAGTCGGCATTACGTAAAGCTGCGAATTATGAATAATCGTTAAGGGACATATATGAAGAAATACACATTTTCGTCCTTGGACATTATAGCATCTCTACCCAAAGCGATGTTTTTTTTGCATAGAAAAAGTGCCTGTATCTTCCTGTTCGCATGCAAATGAGATCCGAGGCCGATTGCATTATTAACGCCCACCTCGATAATAACTTTATCGTGTTCTTGTCCGAACAATTGAAACGACGTCCACCACTGGTGATGCAACACGCACAAGCAGCTGCAGAATTCCATTACGTTTTGCAATTAATTGCCATTTGGAATCCGGCATATGCAGAGAGCAGAGGTGGCCCAGAAAATCGGACGCGCGATAATGATAAGGAACGGTACATTTTTATTAAAATGATGTTAATTACCTCAAACGTATATCTTTTAAACTGTTAAACCTGCTCATAGAAATTATGAACAGAGACCGCTATCATTATGGTACACGCTCGGCGCGATTATGTGCATGTACGTACCTGCTCATACCATCATTTTTTTCTCTCTTCTCTTCTTCTTCTCTCTTTCCGAAAACAGCAGGAGAACATCCATTGCTGACCCTGACATTATTATTCGACGTAAATTATTATTACATTCCAATTACCACGGAGACGATTTACCTCGTTCGCAGATTTCCAATAGCAAAAGCTAATAATAACACTTGGATGTTTAACGATCCGATCGTTTGTGGCGCAAATTTCTCCGCCCACGGCATTTTTGCATTGTCGGAAGTTGTAGGTTGAAGGTCGACAGTTACTATTTTCGATTCTAATTACACTAAGTGAAGCTGCAACAACATACAATGTCGTTCTTTTTTTGTTACACAAGAAGTTTCTGACCATATGGCATCAGATTTGTTAACCTAGTACACATATTTCTTAATTAATTTCCATAAATTGACAGTCAAGTGGCATATGTCAATAGCAACAATGGCAATGACCTAACTTAATATAACAAATTTAAGCTGTGCAAAATTAAACAAATTCATTGATATTTAAATTATTTTGCTAATTTATCACACATATTAAATTAAATTGTAAAATATTTTTTCACATTCTTAGAAAATAATTGTCAAACTAAAATGTTAATTGCTAATCAATTCTAAATTTATATTATGAAATAAACAAATGTTTGCCCCAAGCATGACACCTGTGCTAAAACGCTTTCTTTTAACGCCAAATATCGCCTTTCTCCTAAACATTTCTTCTGCGATCATCCAAGAAGCAAACTGTTGTTGATTTACAGTCAACGACAAACTCATGCAATTCTAAGATTTGCCGCTCATGGCACATAACCAGTTTTCTAGATGCATGGTATAATCTCTAGAATTGCACTTGAATTTATTGCTAATAAACTATGTAAATTAATTTTAAAATCTACATATTACAGTCTTACATAATTTATTAAAAATCGTTTAAAAAAACGTGAATTCTTGGAGAAATTTTGATTTAAACGAGTTTTTATTTATTTTTAGTAAAATTCATGTTTAGATTCATTCAATTTACAATAGAGATTTTACCTACTTAACGATCACGTATTTTCTCAGAAAAAAAATAGCATCTCGTATTAAATATGTTTCTATTGTTGGGTTCAGAATTTACGACAACTAAATTGAATGAATGAGATCCACTAACAAAAAGGTATGTTTTGTGTGTTGACCATGCGAATGGTTTTGGAGGGCAATTTATTGGATTGTGACCTGCACAAAAGCTGGTTAAATATGGGTTTAGCCTATGACAACCTGTCATTGTCGGTAGGTATCAAAGAAAGAAAGGTAACTCATTCATTCAGCAGAAATATGTTTACGCCACGTCAGCCGTCGTTCATGACAAAGAGAAGGAAATACATCTTGCACTGACGCAAGTCCTATTTTTAAAATAATGATTCCTACCATACGCAATTAAATTTAATGTTATATTAATTATTATTAATAATATCATCACGTATATTTAACATCAGTTAATTTACACTTAACTAATATTGTTAGACTTAATAGAACGTGTACTATAATTTTAAATAGTTGTGCATGTTGAATGGATTATTTAAAGGAAATTATGAATTGTTACTCAAAATTTTCGTTACACGTTGTGGAGGGCATTTTAAAAATGACGTATTCTCAAAACCAAAAACCGAGTCCGTTTAAAATCGTTTCACATTCTGTGTACATCGGGAAAAACAATATACCGTATAAATATTAAAATTGATTTGCTCATTTCGGTCACGAACTGAAGATACTGGTTTACGTATGGCTTCGCTCACTTCTTCCAATCGAGAATCTTCGATATCGCCTCATCCCTATTCGAACAACTAACGATAATTAATATTCATCGAGTAATTTACGTTCTGAAGATTGCTGATGTTAAAGGAATGCTAGTATAATTATGTTACAAACCTACTCTTTGTTTGAAATCTGATGGAATTATGTTCATGAAACAAACATAAATAATTTATTAGTCATCGTTTAACAACAATATATAGCTATAGTGCGGGTAATCCGTTCTGCACTTTCTGAAACCGGACTAATCAAGAACTTTAAAACCTTAAAGTAAAAAAAAAGATATTTTATGTAAAATAATTTTGTGTACTATTTATTTTCTTCATGTTGTTGAATTAAAATTTAGTTTGTTTTGAAATTTTCAAATCGTAATGTTAATTCGCACTGATCAATGCCGCACTATGCAAGGTATATTTTATTTCAAACCTAATAGCCAAAATTCTATAATGAAATCGAAGTGAACGCATGCAGAAAGTGAAAATCCTCTTCGCGAGAAATAACCTTTCGTGATAAATGTCAAAGAGATACACCTCAAAACTCCAGTTAAATTTAATATCGCTTTAAAAGTAATATTTAATTAAATTTAGCTATTAATTAATGTAAATAAATCAATGCACGTTTTAATTAATTTCACATTTAGTCGAAGCTGTTTTTGACTAAGCTTTACATTAACATTCGTTTTAAGCGCAATTATTCTTAATGAGAAGAAACATTCTGAAAGGAATATTAAATGCAGTTAGCTGGAAAACTAAAATTGCGTAACAATATCGTTGCATGTTTGCCACCTTTAAATTCGCATTTGGAATATTGTTACCTTTCACTTGAACATTTCTCATATAATCAAGAAACCAACCATGGAGGAAATTTAATAATACTTTTATTTTCAGTATTTACATTTATCAGTGACTGTATTTAATTTTTGATTTATTACGTTTTTCTAAATTAAAAATAATAATATTCAAATATTTAAAATATATATTTTTGTTTATATATCTGGACATATAGAGTTACATTAGTGCAATTTAGTAAACTAGATGAATCAGAAAGTGGATATGAATATTATTCGCTTGAGTAAAATAAGTTGAACATTGTGGCATATTACAAAGTTGATCGCTTGCAAATACCGCGTGAGCGCTCGATCATAAAACCCCGTACGCGACATTCAATACGAAAGCGATACGTAACAAACTGGATTATGATTATCGCAAGGAATGCAACCAACCTTCGAAGGACTGGAAAAGTGTCATAAAACGATCATTAGTTTTGGACTAATTGATCCGGCCATTGAAACCCTAAATGCTAGCGTGTCGCGCGCGACTTATCTTTCACTGAAAAACGCTCCGCCCGTGAAGTGCTCAGTCAGACATAAAAGAACCTAATAAATGCAATCATTACTTTCTCTCTATATAATTATACAAAAGACAGAACGTTTAACAAAAATTGAATCATATTTGATTGAGGAAGAGGTACTTTCATCCTGCGTGGATTTTCGTCCAGAACGGAAACAATGATCTCTTGATACTCCTCTAGAACAACAAAAAGAGAAGTTTCACTTTTTAATAATCCTCATTGTATGACTTACATAATTGATGCCTATCAAACGAATTTCATCTTGAATTGTCAAATGAAAAGAATCATAAAGATTTTGTAATATTCCATTTGGTAATTTACGTTGATTAAGAATGATTAAGAACGAAAAGATTGTTAAAATATGTTGTTATAATTATTGCTTTTTACTGCTACTTCCCTAACCTATTAAAACCATATTACGTAGAGGCTAATTTGTATTTATATTATTTTTTGTTTTGTTATTGTTTCAGGATGGGAACTTAGAGGACTGCACTGTTACAAATTTTTCAACATACGACATTCGTGGGAGAAGGCCGCGGAATTGTGCAGAAGGTCAGTGCTCTTGATTTTGCTTTGAATTTCACAAATATTTGACTTTAGTTTAACGGGACAAGAACTATGTTTGTGCTCGTTTCTCGGGAGACGTGCGCGATATATGTTGTTGTAGTTCGACGAACCGCAGGGCGAATTTTTCTGTTTTGCACGTGCCGGGAATTCGCGATTCGATGGTTCAACGTTGACGATCAGCAATGCGTGGGATGTGACTTCACGAAAATTCTCGAAGTGCGATTCATTTTTGATAAATTCGTGCCGAAATTTTCTATTCGGCACGTGTCTGCTCATTACCTATTGGAAAGTTGAACCAGACGAATCACCTGTAGCATATTCAAAACTCAAACTAATTGCCCAATTAATTTTAGTTCCTTTGATCTTGCCATCAAATCAATATCAAGTTTCGTTCCCGTTGCATAAATTAACTATTAAAACTAGTCAAAAAGTAATCAAATTAAATCTAAAAAATAATAATCAAACAAATAGCACAAATAATAAAAGTATATTATTCAAAATGATTATTTATAAAATAATTTATAATAAGATGAAGAAATTATTGATATTAGGTAAATTTTCAAAAATGCTAAACTAAGAAATCTCAAACAAAATTATACAGTAACTAGTAGAAATTTGGATGTATGATTTATGGATAGTACAAAAGTTTTACAAAATGTTGTTTTTTTGTAATTTAGGTATGGAAGTGACTTGATGTCCGTGGAATCCTTCACCGAAAATAATTTGACTGCTTCGATTGCGATGTCCGCCGTGTCCGGTGACCGTCGTGGAGTAAACCACTATTGGCTGGGTTTAGCCTCTTTGGACGACCTGAAGACTAACACCCTGGAGTCAGCTGCTGGTACTCTGGTCTCCCAATACTCAGGTGAGTCTTCGAAAATCGCCGATAACAAGAGAGAGAAGACTTTCTAGCCGTAAACCCATTTCGCAAAAGCGTTACACTTTTTTATGCTGCTCTACCTCTCTTTCTCTGTCTCATACACTCACTCACATATGCCCACTTATGCCCGTGTATTTACATTGATTTCACCGACCTGTATTATATAAAGTTATGCAGCGTGCATGCCGCGGAATGCCGTTCCGAATGAATTTCATCCTACTTCTGACGAAACATCAATCCGTTTTCAATTTACGTTTTCTTTTTCTGCATCTTCGCATCATCTTCGTGCGTATTAGGATTCTGGTCGCTGCAGCAGCCGGATCCAAAAGCCGGAGAGTGCGTCGACGTGACGCTTTCAGAGGAAAAGCAATCCTGGGAGTTGTCCACTTGCGAGAGTCTCCTTCCGTTCATGTGCAGAGCCAAAGCCTGTCCATCCGGCTCTTACCACTGCTCAAACGGAAACTGCATTAACGAAGCATTCCGTTGCGATAAGCAAGATGACTGCGGCGACTTCTCCGACGAAATCGATTGTCCTTCCAATTGCAACTTCTATTTGGCCAGCAGCGGTGACGTAGTTGAAAGCCCTTACTATCCGCAGAAGTACGCGCCTTTGACCAACTGCAAATGGACGTTGGAAGGTCCACAAGGACATAACATCTTACTTCAAGTAATTCAACATCCAACTGAAACAATGACAATTATTATAAATGTTACCATAAATATTTCAGTTCCAAGAATTCGAAACAGAGAAAACCTTCGATACCGTGCAAATCTTAGCTGGCGGAAGGACCGAGGATACTTCCATCAATTTGGCCACGCTCTCAGGAAAACCTGATCTCACAAATAGATCTTTTGTCTCGGCCTCTAATTTTATGATTGTTAAGTTCAGTACCGATGCTTCTGTTGAACGCAAAGGCTTTAGGTAATTCTCTATACTTGTGCTCTTAGCAACAAATCATTTAATTGAGTATTGTAGGGCTTCATGGAAGACTGAACCTCAGAATTGCGCTGGTAATTTGAGAGCCACACCACAGGGTCAAGTGTTGTCTTCTCCTGGTTACCCAGATCAATACCCAGGTGGTTTAGAGTGTTTGTACTTGATTCAAGCACAAACTGGAAGAATTATCACTTTGGAAATCGACGATTTAGATTTGGACGAAAGCAGAGATTACATTCTAGTCAGAGATGGCGATTCTCCTAAAAGCCAACCCATTGCTAGGTTAACAGGAGATTTGGAGAACAACCAAAGGATCATTATGTCTACCAGCAACCAACTTTATTTGTACTTTAAGACTAGTTTAGGTGACTCCAAACGAGGATTTAGAATTCGCTATACACAAGGGTGCAAAGCTACGATTATTGCCAAAAATGGAACCCTAAACTCGCCAGCATACGGTTTAACCAACTATCCAAGCAACCAAGAATGCATGTACAAGATTAGGAACCCAGGAGGAGGACCTTTGTCTCTAAACTTTGATAATTTTGATGTAGATAAATCCGATTTTGTTCAGGTATTTCAAAAATATATTTTTTCTTTATGCAATAAAGCTTACGCCTTCATAATTTTAGGTTTATGATGGTCCTACCACTAGTGGATTAAGGTTGCATGCAGGAAACGGGTTCACTTTTGGGGTTGCCCCTAAAATCACCTTAACAGCTTCCAGTGGTGAAATGTTGGTGCGTTTCGCAACAGATGCGTTGCATAACAGCAAAGGTTGGAACGCGATCTTCTCGGCGGATTGTCCACCGTTGAAGCCTGGTTTCGGCGCATTGGCGTCCAACAGAGAGACCGCTTTTGGTACGGTGGTGACTTTCACTTGCCCCAATGGCCAGGAATTCTCGACAGGCCGTCAACGCATTACCACGCAATGTCTGCCCAGTGGTAATTGGTCGATCACTTACATTCCGAATTGCCAAGAAGTCTATTGCGGCCCAGTTCCTCAGATCGATAATGGTTTCTCTACTGGATCTACTAATGTCACATACAGAGGTCAGGCGACGTACCAGTGTTACGCCGGTTTCGCTTTCTCCACGGGTCAACCCAACGAGAAGATCTCTTGCCTCTCCGATGGTAGATGGGAAAAGAAACCTGCTTGCTTGGCTTCACAATGCGTCGCTCTGTCGGAAGTACCTCACGCTAACGTTACCATTCTGAATGGATTAGGGCGCAGCTACGGCACCATTGTCAGGTTCGAATGCGAGCCGGGTTACATAAGAACCGGTCATCCGGTTATTCTTTGCATGAGCAATGGCACCTGGTCCGGAGACGTTCCCACCTGCACAAGTAAGTTCCCACAAATATAATCACGCATATATGCAATGCTAATGCATATTGATTTTAGGAGCCAGATGTCCAGAATTCCCAGAGATCAAAAACGGATTCATCAGTGATACTTCGAGAAACTACCATTTCAACGATGAAGCCCGAGTCCAATGTTACAAAGGTTACAAATTAATTGGTAACAGCGTCTTGCGTTGCGGCGAAAACCAGATGTTCAACAATCCACCCAGGTGCGAAGATATCAACGAATGCACAAATAGCCAATGCGATGTAGCATCCACTGAATGCGTAAATGCTCCAGGCTCGTTCTCTTGTAAATGTCGCAAAGGTTTTGCACCAACATTTGCCTGCAGACCTTCTGATCTAGGCCTCATGAACGGAGGAATAGCCGATGAAGCCATTACCGTTTCAAGCACCGAAGAGGGTTACACCAAGGGCGTAAGTTTTATTTAAATTAAATTGTCATTTAGAAATAATAACTGTATCTATGATGTGTAATTGATGTTGTGTTTAATTTTCTTATTAATATCACCAATAATTTTACAGATGGTTCGTTTGAATAATAACGTAGTTATGGGTTGGTGCGGAGAAAGCTCCGAGCCGGCCACCAACTACGTGATCATTGACTTGAAAGCACCGACCGTCGTAACCGGATTCAAGACAATCTCCGTACTGAGACCAGATGGAACTTACGCCTTTACATCCGCAGTCAGGATCCAATACACCGATGATCTAACCGATGTTTTCAAGGACTACAGACAAGGAAACGATGGTACGGCGGTTGAGTTCAGAATTCTGGAACCAACTCTATCTATTCTGAATCTTCCGAAACCGATCGAGGCGCGATACATCAAGTTTAAAGTACAAGATTACAAAGTTGCGCCTTGCATGAAATTGGAAATTATGGGTTGCACTAGATTGGAATGTGCCGATATTAACGAATGCGCCGTTAATAATGGTGGCTGCTCGCAGAAATGTATAAATAATCCTGGCGATTATACATGCAATTGCAACGTGGGTTATAATCTTTATACTCAAAATGGAACTTCCTCCTACTATATCGAAGATAGCGAAAATGGTCTCAGAGACGGTGACGGTAGACAAATCAACAAAACTTGTGTCCCAGTTATGTGCCCTGCCGTAACGCCTCCAGAAAATGGAATAGTTTTATCCACAAAAGTAATGATCCGACAAATTAAAAGCCGACAACAATCTAATATTTCGTGTTTTAGGAAAACTATTATTTCGGCGATTTGGTTAAATTCCAATGTGACTTTGGATACGAAATGACAGGTTCCCCAGCTCTCATCTGCACATCCACTGGGGCTTGGAATGGTTCCATACCTGAATGCAAATGTAAGCATAAAATCTTTTCTTCTTTTTTTTTCAAAATGAAGGTTTTATATGATTTTAATTAAAATATTTGCTTTTTAGATGCTAAATGCTTCTCCCTACCTGATGACAAAGCCGAAGGTCTTAAAGTATTGAAAGCCGACCAAACCAACGAATTCATACCGTTCAAGAGCAATATCACTTTGAACTGCGACAACACCGGAAGGCAATTACGTAAAACAGCGTCCTCAGGTTTCAGACAGTGCGTTTACGATCCAAAGCCAGGTTTACCTTCTTATTGGTTAAGTGGAGCTTTGCCGACTTGTCCACGCGCCGATTGTGGTCCACCACAACCAACACCAGGAGCTGAATACGGAAAATTTATAGACACCAAGTATCAATCGTCATTCTTCTTCGGATGTCAAAACACCTTCAAATTGGCCGGACAGAGTAACAAGCACGATAATGTTGTTAGGTGTCAAGCGAACTCCGTTTGGGACTTTGGTGATTTGAGATGCGAAGGACCAGTCTGTGAGGATCCGGGTAGACCGAGCGATGGTGTCCAAGTTGCAAGGAGTTATGAGCAAGGATCTGAAGTATCTTTTGGCTGCAACAGACCTGGTTACATATTGATAAACCCGCGACCGATTACTTGCATTAGAGAACCAGAATGTAAGGTGGTGAGACCTCTGGGTTTGGCTTCTGGAAAGATTCCTGATTCGGCTATTAATGCGACCAGCGAGCGTCCCAACTACGAAGCTAGAAATATTCGTTTAAATTCAGTTACCGGATGGTGTGGTAAACAAGAGGCTTTCACTTATGTGAGCGTTGACTTAGGAAAAGTTTACCGCGTCAAAGCTATTTTGGTAAAGGGCGTAGTCACCAACGATATAGTTGGTAGACCTACTGAGATTAGGTTTTTCTACAAACAAGCTGAGAACGAGAATTATGTTGTGTACTTCCCCAACTTCAATTTGACGATGCGCGATCCCGGCAATTATGGCGAATTGGCTATGATTTCTTTACCAAAATACGTGCAGGCAAGATTCGTTATCTTAGGTATTGTCAGTTATATGGACAACGCTTGTTTGAAGTTCGAACTGATGGGTTGCGATGAACCTAATGATGAGCCTTTGCTCGGATACGATTATGGATACTCTCCTTGTGTCGATAACGAAACTCCTGTTTTCCAAAACTGCCCACAACAACCAATTGTTGTTCAAAAAGATGCCAATGGCGGTCTATTACCTGTTAACTTCACCGAACCTACAGCTGTTGATAACTCCGGTAGCATTGCCAGGTTGGAAGTAAAACCGCAGAACTTCAAAACGCCAATGTATGTGTTCGAAGATACAGTCGTGAAATATGTAGCGTTTGATTACGATGGAAACGTTGCCATCTGCGAGATCAACATCACCGTTCCGGATAACACTCCACCACAATTGAGTTGCCCGCAGAGTTACGTAATTGAATTGGTCGATAAGCAAGATAGTTACGCTGTCAACTTCAATGAGACCAGAAGGAGGATTAACGCCACTGATGCTAGCGGCGAAGTTCAACTGACATTCATTCCTGATAGAGCCACAATTCCTATTGGTAATTTTGAAAACGTAACTGTTGTTGCTGCTGATAAATACGGGAACAAAGCTACGTGCCACTTCCAAGTCTCGGTGCAAGCTACTCCGTGCGTCGATTGGGAATTGAAATCACCTGCAAATGGAGTTTTAACCTGCTTAGAAGGTGATCGAGGATTACAGTGTATCGCCAAGTGCAATGATGGATATAGATTCACTGATGCCGAACCAATTAAAACGTTCAGTTGCGATTCCAAAACACCATGGAGACCAACTGCTGTTGTGCCAGATTGTGTATCTGAAGACACCCAACAAGCAGATTATCATGTCGTTGGTAGCTTAAGCTACCGTGCCAATGGAGCCGTAGGAAGCTCCTGCCTGTCGCAATACACTGATTTAATAGCACAATACTATACATCACTTAACGAAATGCTCTCGCAACGTTGCTCCGCCGTTAATGTCAACATGAAAGTCACTTTCGTTAAAGCTATTCCTAAGTTAGTGGAAGAAAATATCGTGAGGATTGATTACAGCATGGCCGTGGTACCAATCATCAGGCAATCTCAACTTTACGAGCTGTGCGGATCGACGCTCAAATTGATCTTCGATCTATCCGTACCTCATGCAAGCGCAGTAATTGAACCATTACTCAACATTTCCTCAATCGGTAACCAGTGTCCGCCGCTCCGAGCATTATCTTCCAACATATCAACCGGATTTATCTGTAATGTTGGAGAAGTTTTGAATAATAGCACAAGCAATGTACCGCGATGCCGTAAGTCATTACTACAATATTATATTATATTTAACTAATTTAATCAATATTCTTTTAGTGCATTGTCCAGCTGGAACTTTTGCCGGAGAACACCAACAGAAATGTACTTACTGTCCAAAAGGCTTCTATCAGAACTCCGATCGTCAAGGCTCTTGTTTGAGATGTCCAAGCGGAACTTACACTAGGGATCAAGGCTCAAAGAGCATTTCAGATTGTGTCCCGGTTTGTGGATTTGGAACATACTCCCCAACTGGATTGGTGCCTTGCTTGGAATGTCCAAGAAACAGCTACACCGGAGAACCACCTACTGATGGGTACAAGGACTGCCAAGCGTGTCCTGCCAACACATTCACCTATCAACCGGCTGCACCTGGGAAAGATAGATGTAGACCAAAGTGCGCTCCGGGTCAATACTCCGCCACAGGTTTGGCTCCATGCTCAATGTGCCCAAGAGACTTCTTCCAAACACTCCACGGTCAAACTACCTGCAAGGAATGCCCAACCAATATGAAAACTGATAGTCCTGGATCAATCAGCAGAGAAGATTGCCAGCCAATTCAGTGCACCGAAAGCGCATGCCAACACGGAGGACTTTGCGTACCCATGGGTCACGGAATACAATGCTTCTGCCCTGCTGGTTTCTCGGGACGTCGTTGCGAAATCGACATAGACGAGTGTTCTTCTCAGCCTTGCTACAATGGAGCAACCTGTATCGATCAACCTCAAGGTTATAGATGTAAATGTGCCCCTGGATATTCTGGAATCAATTGCCAGGAAGAAGGAAGCGATTGCAGAAACGACACTTGCCCAGAAAGAGCTATGTGCAAGGATGAACCTGGAGTCAACAATTACACTTGTCTTTGCCGTTCGGGTTATACTGGAATCGATTGTGATATCACAGTAAGTTTATACAATAATAAATATAGATTATCGAAATTAATTATTTTATTCCATTAAGATTGATCCATGCTCTGCTAATGGAAATCCTTGCAACAACGGAGCAAACTGCGTGGCGCTGCAACAAGGAAGATTCATGTGCGAATGTTTACCTGGATGGGAAGGCCAAACTTGCGAAATTAATACAGATGATTGCGCAGAGCAGCCTTGTTTATTGGGAGCTAATTGCACCGATTTGGTAGCAGACTTTAGCTGCGATTGTCCTTCCGGATTCACCGGAAAACGTTGCCAAGAGAAGGTCGATCTGTGCAGCAGGAATCCTTGTATCAATGGAAATTGCGTCGATAAGTTGTTCTATCATCAATGCGTCTGTAACCCAGGTTGGAGCGGAGAAGCTTGCGATGTTAACATTAACGATTGCAATCCTGATCCTTGCATGAACGGCGCCGTGTGCGTCGATGGAGTCGATGATTTCTCATGCACATGCGAACCTGGATTCACTGGAAAACGTTGTCAGCATACCATTGACTACTGTTCTTCCGAACCATGCCAGAACGGCGGCTCGTGCACCGATCAAGTCGATGGATTTACGTGCAAATGCAGACCAGGTTTTGTCGGACTCCAATGCGAAGTGGATTTCAACGAGTGCTCAAGCGATCCTTGTAATCCAGTTGGAACAGAAAATTGCGTAAACTTAGATAACAATTTCAAATGCATGTGCCGGGAAGGATTCACAGGAACTTTCTGTGAAGAGAATATCGATGATTGCAAATCTGAACCTTGCCTGAACGGAGGTTCTTGCAGAGACGAAGTTGGCAATTACAAATGCTTATGTCCGCAAGGTTGGAGCGGAAAGAACTGCGAAAAGGATATCGGAACGTGCCAAAGTAAACCATGCCAGAACGACGCTAAGTGCATAAATTTGTTCCAAGACTTCTTCTGTGTGTAAGTATTTATTATCTTTCACATTATTATGGTGGATTTAATATATTTTTATTCTAAAAACAGGTGTCCATCTGGAACTGATGGCAAACAATGCGAAACTGCCCCAGAACGTTGCATTGGCAATCCGTGCATGCACGGAGGAAAATGTCAAGATTTTGGTTCAGGTTTGAACTGTTCTTGTCCATATGGTTTTGCTGGAATTGGCTGCGAATACGAATATGATGCTTGCCAATCTAACGACTGCAAGAATGGAGCAACTTGCACCAATCACGGAAGCGGATTCCAATGCGTTTGTCCACCCGGATACACAGGCACTTTCTGCGAGGAAGATATTGTAGATTGTAAAGAGAACTCTTGTCCACCAAGTGCCACATGCATTGACCTCACTGAGAAGTTTTACTGTCAATGTCCATTCAACTTGACCGGAGAAGACTGCAGAAAAAGTAAGCTTATTTATACAACAATTATAAATAAATTTATAAACTAATATAGAAATACATAATCCAGATGGTTGTACCATATGATCTTAAATAGTTACAAAATATTAATATACATTATTTTCTTTTAAGCTATTTCCGTCGATTATGATATGTTCTTCAGTGACGCTACTAGGAGTTCGGCTGCTCAAGTTATTCCATTCTACACGGGATCCAAGTCTAGTTTGACCATAGCCATGTGGGTTCAATTTACCGAAAAAGACGAAAACGGAATATTCTTTACTTTGTATGGAGTTTCTTCCAAGCATATGCCTAACGATAGGAGGGCTATGGTTCAAGCTCATTCAAGCGGTGTACAAATATCCTTGTTCCCGGACATTCAAGACGTCTATTTGAGTTACCGTGACTATACCACCATCAATGACGCCCAATGGCATCATATTGCTATAATGTGGGACGGAGAAAACGGCGGAGAATTGAAGCTCATCACCGAAGGTTTAATCGCAAGCAAAGTTGACGGTTACGGAAGCGGAAGGAAACTACCAGAATAGTAAATTATTTTAGCTTTCTTTCAAAATAATATACTTAACTCTTACATATTTTTTCAGTGGTTGGGTTACTCTGGGTAAGCCGCGTTCAGGAAATCCTAAAGGATACACCGAAAACGGATTCCAAGGACATTTGACCAAGGTCCAAATATGGGGCCGTGCTCTTGATGTAACTAATGAAATCCAGAAGCAGGTACGCGATTGTAGAACTGAACCAGTTCTTTATCGCGGATTGGTTTTGACTTGGGCTGGATACGAAGACACCACGGGCGGAGTGGAGCGTATAGTACCATCACACTGCGGACAAAGAAATTGTCCTTCTGGTTACTCCGGTCCTAAATGCCAAAACTTGGAAGTTGATAAGATTGCGCCAAAGGTGGAATATTGCCCTGGAGATTTATGGGTCATTGCTAAGAATGGTTCTGCAATCGTAGCATGGGACGAACCTCATTTCAGCGATAATGTAGGAGTTGTTAAAATTCAGGAGAAGAATGGACACAGACCCGGACAGACCTTGTTGTGGGGTGTCTATCAAATCGCATACGTTGCTTCTGACGCCGCTGGAAATACAGCTATGTGCACTTTCAAGGTTTCCTTGCTATGTAAGTTAACAAACCAAATATTTCTAATTAAATTCATAGTTAACAGTTAAGGTGAATATATTCATGATATTTTTTGTGTTTCAGCTGAATTTTGCCCTGAACTTCCCGATCCAATCGGTGGTCTTCAAACGTGCAAAGATTGGGGCGCGGGTGGTCAATTCAAGGTTTGCGAAATTGGCTGCAATCCTGGTTTAAGATTCTCCCAAGATGTTCCGAAGTTCTACACCTGCGGCGGCGAAGGTTTCTGGAGGCCCACTTCAAATCCGACACTTCCGATGGTGTATCCTGCTTGCTCAGGTAATATGAAAGCTTCGGTTCAATGATATATTTTATACTAAATTGTAAAATTTGCAGCTTCCAAACCGGCTCAAAGAGTATTCAAGATAAATATGCTGTTCCCAAGTTCAGTGCTCTGCAATGAAGCAGGTCAAGGTGTACTCAGGCAGAAGGTGCGCAACGCAGTAAACGGTCTGAATCGCGATTGGAACTTCTGCTCTTTCTCCATCGAGGGTACCAGAGAGTGTAAGGATTTGGCCATCGATATTTCTTGCGATCACAGGTCCAACAGAGTTACGCGCCAAGTGAACAACAATAATAACGAGGAAGAGGATGGTGGTACTTACGTTATCGAAGCCCAAGTTCCAGTTCAACCGTGAGTACAAAAGTTGATTTAAATATGCATGCGATCTGATACACATCTATTTGTTGTTTATTTGTTTGTACTCTATGTTTGTGTATTGTTTTATATGTCGTATCACTTTGAGCATGTTGTAGTACTCTCCTAGTACGTGTATGTAGTTTAGCACCTAGCATGTTCCATTGTAGAAATAACCGCCAAGGACGGCAGCATACGAGTGACACATACAACATTGAAATCTCCTTCCCGGCCATCAAGTAAGCACATCGTTTTTCTTCCTTTCTCTGTTTGTTGTTGAATACACTTTGCATGCGTAGAAACCAATCCAATGTAAACTCAATACTAATTTTACTTTAATCCCCAGCGATCCTGTGATCAACTCCAACACCAACGAGCGCTCCAACGTGCAAAGGCTTCTGGAGATGTTAATCCTGGAGGAGGATCAATTCGACGTAAGGGATATTCTTCCAAACACCGTTCCAGATCCATCTTCATTGGTATTGGAATCAGATTACGCTTGCCCCGTGGGTCAAGTGGTTATGGCACCTGATTGCGGTAAATTTATATTTAAATAAATACTAAGAATAATAAATAACTAAATATATTTTTGTTTAGTACCATGCGCAATTGGAACGTACTACGAGAAGAACTCAAAGAAATGTATTGCTTGTCCTTTGGGAAGCTACCAAAGCGAGTCGGGTCAATTGCAATGTATTTCATGTCCAGCTATTGCCGGCAGACCAGGTGTTACAGTTAGTCTTGGTGCGAGAAGTGCAGCAGATTGCAAAGAACGTTGCCCAGCTGGTAAATACTACGACGACGGGGCTGGTCTCTGCAGAAGCTGCGGCCACGGTTTCTATCAACCTGAAGAGGGTGCTTTCTCATGCAACATTTGTGGATTGGGTAAAACGACCAGGACAAACGAGGCTGTTTCCGCTAAGGAATGTCGCGATGAGTGCTCCAGTGGAATGCAATTGGCTTTGGATGGTAAATGTGAGCCTTGTCCAAGAGGTTCATTTAGGATGCAGGGAGTCCAAGCCGCTTGCGAGAGCTGCCCGCTTGGAAGAACTACTCCAAAGAGCGGTGCTTCCAGCATTGAAGAATGCTCGCTTCCAGTTTGCACACCGGGAACATACTTGAATGGTACTTTGAATAGTTGCATCCCTTGCAAAAAGGGATGGTATCAACCAGAAACCCAACAAACGACTTGCGTACAATGCCCGCCAAATACAAGCACCAAAGGAACAGCTGCTGTAAGTACTATTTTTAAATTAAACAATACTATTTTCTGCTGCTGATACAAAAACTGTATCGATCAGTAATTTTTAAACACTTTAATTTTCTTCTAAATTATATTTTTCCTTTTGAAACTAACTTGATGAAATTTTATAGACAAGCAAAGCTGAATGTACGAATCCTTGCGAGATGCACGGTCCAGAGATGCACTGCGACACCAACGCTTATTGCCTCTTGATCCCCGATACCAGTGAGTTCAGGTGCGAATGTAAGCCAGGCTTCAACGGAACTGGAAAGGTCTGCATGGACATCTGCGACGGTTTCTGCGAGAATGAAGGACACTGCGTGAAGGACGTTCGAGGACAACCCTCGTGCAGATGTATTGGCAGCTTTACAGGAAAACATTGCGCTGAAAAATCAGAGTTCGCCTACATTGCCGGAGGAATCGCTGCTTCGGTGATCCTGATCATCTTTATCGTGCTGTTGATCTGGATGATTTGCGCCAGAGCCAACAGAAGGAGAGAACCTAAGAAGCTCCTGACACCAGCCACAGATCAAAACGGATCTCAGGTTAACTTCTACTACGGTGCTCCGACTCCGTACGCTGAAAGCATTGCCCCGAGCCATCATTCCACCTACGCCCATTACTACGATGACGAAGAGGATGGTTGGGAAATGCCAAACTTCTACAACGAGACTTACATGAAGGAGAGTTTACATAATGGCGTCAATGGCGGAAAGATGAACAGCCTGGCAAGATCAAACGCCAGCATATATGGAAAGGAAGACTTGTACGACAGACTGAAGCGTCACGCCTACCCTGGAAAGAAAGGTGAGATGTTAGTATGCTCTAAGCTATGAATATCCATTAACTAATATCTCTTTTCAGATAAAAGTGATAGTGACAGTGAAGTAGGCCAATGAAACAAACCAGCAACAACCATGAACTTATCCGACACACTTTTATAATTATATATATATATTAGGTATATATAAATAAATTTTCCAACGATCACCCATGTTCATGCTATCACCAATTTCTGGTCAATACTTCTTCATGCTCAAAACATATTTAGAATCGAAAGCACTGCCGCGGCGAACTCAAAAAAAAAAATTTTTTTTTCATTATTCACGAACCCGTTTTTATTGACACATCGTTTATGATAAAAATTGATTCCTGAATGAGCATCGAATTATAAATATATATATATAAATAAATATTATAAAAACCGAAACAATTTATAAATATTATAAAGAGATTTTTTTTTATGAAAGATATGTACTAAATTGTTCTATTGTTGTTTCATATTATTTATATTAGCTAATAGACGTATTATTATTTTATATTTATAGTACATTAATAATTGTTTAGTCAATTTATATATTACGAAAATCATATTTTTTTTAAGAGACTTGATCGTTTTTATTTTAATTGTATGATCATTCGACATGTAATTTTGTACTTAAGTGAGTGTGAATTGTGTATATTATAGACTATATAAATGTTTTGTATAAATGTTATGTTAGATGTGCGTTAAAAGAATGAGCGAATTAATAAACTGTTAATATTATTTTTTATTTATTTTCTTAATTCATCCGTTTCTTTGACTTTTAGTAAATAAAAATATACTTTCACTTTCATCAATGTCAACAGGTAAATCCACATACTAGTAAAACTCAATATATTCAAATAAAACGAAATAAATTATCAACATTCAAGAAAGATTAACAACAAAATGCAAAAATATTTAATTATTTATTTTTAATCTGTTTTATGAGAATACTGAAATAACTGGAGTTAATTGTTTATTAGTTACTTTAAAACAATTAGAAACCAAATGTAAGAAAAAAAAATCAATTAATTTACCATATATGGATTTTTTTCTCGAATATTTTAATAAATGTATTTAAATAATATATGGTTTGAAAGACAAAATAATTAAAGAACACGTCGGATGAGTTACAAAATTATTGTTTTTAATTAGTAATTTTAATTATTGCTTTGATTAATTAATCTCATTAATGTTATTAAAAGTGATTATTATTCTACAACTTTCAAGTATTTTGTAAATAAAAAAAAAACATTGCAAATGTGGATATTATATTACATCGTAATATCTAGATTATAATTTTACACGTGACTTTCATTTACTTATACGAAATTCTTAAAATAATATCTGTTTTAGTTTAAATTTATTTAAAGTAAATATACTTAGTACCTTCCTTCTTTCAAGTTTTAATGAATGAGGATTTAGTGTCAACATGATCTAATTTATAACTCAAACAAAAATCGAAAGGATGTTCTGTGTAGGTTTTCATTTATTTGAATTGTAATATTTATTTCACATTTAATATACATTTTCTTATCTCTATTTGTTTCTTTTTGCTTGACTACACTATACCTAGCATAGTAATGTTCTGACATTGTCCTGGATAGTTTAATATCGGACTAACAAAACTAGGTTACAAAAGTATTCATTGTTGAAAAGAATAAACATAATTAAAACATAATTTTATATACTTATTATAAAAAATTATTTTTAGTTTGCTCAATTGAAATTTAGTTTGTTTTGAAATTTTCAAACCAGAGTATAGTGATGCAAATTACACCATGCGAGGAATTGGTTTCACTACATTAGACTAAAACACATGTAGGAAATCAAGATAAATTGTTATAGGAAATATAATAATCAATTATTGTAAATTGTTTGTTATTAACAATCTAATTATATATTTTTCCATGTTATATGAAAGTTTTATTCTAAATGAAAGGACTATAATAAACACAAATTTTAGACTATTCATTGATTTGGATTTATATATATTTTAAATAATTGATATGCCAATATATGCGTATTCTTGAAACATTTTCTGTATCCTTTTATTTTATAAAGTATTTTTTTAATCATAAATTCTATTATTACATATGCATTGTTTAATGCCAATGTGATTCTTATTTTATTAAGTTGTTAAAATAAACTGCAGTTTTGGTGTGACCCAAGCTTTTATTGATTGTATTTCAGTGTGACTCAAGCTTCGGTCCTGCACGCAGGCCAACTGCTTGCAGTCCGAATTCTGTCAAATGGCCTGGATGTTTACAAACAAGTGTAGCCCGGTATGAAGATGAACAATCAGTTGTTCATCAGTGAAATAAAGAAGAGGAAATCCCTATGGGATTTGCGGAGCGACGTATATCACAACAGGAAAGTTGCGCTGAAGGATTGGCGTGATATCGCGAACCTCTTCAAAATAGACGGTAAGGGAAAGCACGTACTGCCCGTCTTTGTCTGCAACCAAAGCTCTCTAAACACATTCTAGTCATGCAAACACCACATAGCGTGGCTCGGTGTAAGCTTTAGCTCAGTCTCTCATCTAGCGCAGATTCTTTAATCATCTTTAATTAAGTTAATAGACATTTACAAGTAATTAATTTATCTAGTTTATGATATAATTAATGTGAAAATTGAAAAAAATTAATAAAATTAAGATATACGTGTAGAACATTTTAAATTAATCTAACGCAGTTTCTTTAAGCTTAATTTCTACTTTCTTTAATAAATCATTAACTAGACACTATTATCTGATTTATATTGCAATTAATGCAAATAGGGAATGATATCATTTATGTAAATGCTATAACAAATATAATTAGAATAAGATAAACTGATAGAGCATTTCATCAATTTAAAGTAATATTTCTTAGATTAAAGTCAAATACATGTAATTTGATGTTTCTTCTTTTTATGAAAGCTGTAGCAATTAGTTTGATTTAGAGTAATTTATTAGATAATATAAACTTTATGGAAAATGAATATTATCTTAAAAAAGAGTAATATTTTCAGTGAATTTGGCAAAGAGAAAGTGGAAACATTTGCGAGATACCTTCCGAGTGGAACTAAGAAAGAACCAGTCGTACATAACGTCTACCATCGAGACGCAGCCAACTTGCTGGCCGCTGTACGACGACATGGAATTCCTAGCGCCGTGCATAAAGCAGCGACAACTGAAGAACACCAACATCAAGATCCACACTTCACACTTCGTGAAAATCGAAGAAGAGAACATCAACGAGCAAAGCCTCAAAGACCTCTCGTTCATCGAGGACGAGGCCAATTCCTCGGATTCTGATAAATCTAGCGAGGAGTGTTCCACCCGCGACGAGGACGATGAAGATCTGCTGTTCTTCAAAAGCTTACTACCTTCCATCAAGAAACTCTCTGATAAGCAAAAGTTTCTCTTCCAGCTCGAAGTCCACAAGAGCCTCTTCCAGTTTATCTACGAGAAATAAAATTCACGCAATGCTAATGTTATTTATTAAATAAAAAAATATACATATTCAACGATCAAGGAACGTATGTATGATTCATACATACATACACGTATAAAAAAATGGAAATGTAAACAAAATGTCAAATATCTTGATGTTTCAAATATTATTGAATGAATTAAGGAATGTCATGGTTAATGATTATTTTTTTTTATTTTTTAGAGTTTTCTGAGTAAGTTTTAAATTAAATCATAAATCTATGTGTATCTTTTTTTTCTAAACCCTGTAATTCACTTTTTTTAATAATCTCTAAATTTCAATCACCATTTCCATTTGGAGGCGTACGTGTTGTAGCCTTGTCTGCCGTAAATGCCGCCGAATTTGCTGGGTACATAGCCGTTAAATTCGCCGTTTAATGGGGAATTTATGTACTTGGATAATTTATTTCGGAAATGATTGAAAAGTATTGTTTTAAAAGGATGTTGTCCTTGATGGATGGGTACATTTTTTAATACAGGCGATGGAACACCGACGTGTTTTATAATCGGGTACGGTTTTGTTATTGGCACTTCGGCTTTGACTGGATCGGGAACATTCACATAAACCGGAATTTCGATGGGTACTTCTTCAATAATTTTCACTGGAACCGGATGGGGCACAGGTACTTGCACTTCCACTTTAACCGGAACCGGATACGGTTTTGGCACAAACACTGGGTATGGGTGAGGAACAGGTACGTGTACTGCCTTTGTCACGGTAACCCTATACGGCTGAGGCACACGAACTGCTACTTCCTTCGTAATCGTTATAACTCCAGCACTATTTATTCCATTATTTTGCAACATTTGTCTTGGCCGAAAGACGGTGTTCGTTCCGAAAACCCTTTTCTCGATCGCCAGCCCTCGGATAACCGACGTCTTACCCAAATCAGGTACATCGTCCACATCCTCGTAGGTCTCGTAAGACCTCTTCTCGATCCGGTGAAAGTCAGAACAACAAACACTGCCCGCAAGAAGCAAAAACTAAAATTACAAATCAATTAATCGAATGGTTTTACACTTGACGTTATTCTCCTCACCAAGAGCGACCTCCGCATGTCGAGGCATTTGATTGAATCACATTAAATATGGGTAATCTCGAATTTATACTGCAAATTACTATTGCACAATTGTGATGCGACTATTAATACAAATAAATATGCAGAAAATTTCTCTTTTTTTTTGTCTTGCAGATGATCCATCATCAAATATTTGACCTTTGTAGCGAAGAAACCTAAAAAGTTTTCTGCACATTTGATCTAATGCAGTTTATTACGATTAATTTACATATATTCGTCATAAAGATAGTTTATAGATTTCAATTTGTCATTAGTTGTTATATAATAAAATTTCACTTTTAACAAATTTGTCTTTGCACTTTTGAATTTAAATATTTTATTTTCGATAAAAACATATAAATATATATAAAGTTTACTCGTAAATAAAAAGATTATAAATAACCACTTGCAAAAAATAAAATATATATTTTTTATATAGTTGATAAATATTTCTTAAACTTTTTGGAAGAATATTAGTCTTAGAGTCAATATACCATACCAATACTTCAAGACTTTCAAGAACTTACAGAAAGACAAACGATGAATTCCTCCTTGCTATGATTCACACAATAAATATTATTATCAGTAGCTATTTGGAATTCTTACTATGTATTTAATTTATTATTAATTACTTTTCTTTTTATATTATTGTTTTAGTAATTACATAATTATATTATATATAATAAATAATACTAGTTTTAACGAGTTCATACTCTTTTCAGATATTTTATATTTGTTTATGAAAATTATGAATATTACCTTCAATACCAAATCTTTCACATCATTTGTGACTTTAGCTTTTTAAATTATAATAACTATTATAATATTTATGTTTTATTTTTATTTTGGTGGTATTTGAATATGAGCGAGGTCAATAAAAAAAGATTGTATAAAACTATAAATAAATATTATGCAAAATTCATTAATGCAGCGAAGAATGAATAGTTATTTAATATTAAACCTTAGTTGATGGTAACCTTTCTCTTGCATGTAAAATACAAAGCATTTGGGTGTGATCATAAGTTACGCAACACTCTTAAAAAAAGCTATTGAATAGTGACTTGTGCATTTTATTTATTTAAATAAAATTAGTTAATTAATGCAACATATGAAGCAATTCTAAAAAAATATTAGTAATATGTTACGGGTATTTATTTCTTTTTTTCTGTATTATTTAACAGATAAAGGATGAAATGGATAGGAACGCTATAAAAATTACTCAATGTATCAATTTTAATTGATTTTATTAAAATCAAATATATTTACAAGTTATATCACTTATTTTTCTTTTGGTGAATTTTATTCCATTGTTATTCACCACTTCCAGCTGGAAGCGTAGCTGTTGTATCCTTGCTTTTTGTACATGCCACCTTCTTTGCTGGGAATGTATCCGTTGAAGTCGCCGGTAGAGGATGATTGGTATGAGTTTTGGAAGTTCTGCACATTAAGTCCTTGAGCGCCATCAGCGCCGAAACTGGATTGACCGTAGGAATCGCCTCCGCTGAATCCAGCGTCTCCAGAGTAAGAACCGCCTTGGGAACCTAAGTCGATGGTTTGAGATTGGAAGTGGCCACCGGAGGAAAAGTCATCACTGCCACCGGAAGAGAAGTCAGAGTGTCCACCGGAAGAGAAGCCAGCGTTACCGCCGGAAGAGAAACCACTGCTACCACCGGATGAGAAGTCACCGAAGTTTCCTCCTTGTTGGATACCAGAGCCGAAAGATTGAGCGGATCCGGATGAGTATCCACCATCGACTCCACCTTGGAAACCAGAGGATATACCTTGGGACTGGTAACCGGCGGAAGCAGCTGGGGCGTAGTTGACTTGGCTTTGAGCGGATTGAGTGTTGATGTGGACTGGGACCTTAACATACACTGGGGTTGGTACCTTTACTTGAACTTCTTTCACTACCTGGACTGGGTATGGTTTTGGAACAGGTACTTCGACCCTGACTGGATGAGGAACTTTTACGTAAACAGGTACTTTAACTGGTACTTGGTGGGTGATTTTCACTGGGTATGGTTTTGGGATATGAACTGGGACCTTCACTTGGACTGGTACTGCGTACGGCTTTGGAATGTGAACTGGGTACGGTTGTGGTACTCCAACTTTAACTTCTTTTGTCACGGTAACTGGGTACGGTTGTGGAATGTGTACTGGAACTTCCTTGGTCACAGTTACAATCTTGTTTTGGACGATTTGATGACCTCCGAATTGACCAGCAGATGCACCTCCATGAGATTGACTGAAGGATCCACCGAAACCGCCTGCGCTTTGTCCAAATTGCTGTTGCACTCCACCGAAACCACCGGAGACTTGACCGAATCCACCGCCACCTCCCAAATGTCCAGAAGATCCATCAAAACCGCCAGAGACTTGACCGTATCCACCGCCACCTCCCAAATGTCCAGAAGAGGATCCTTCAACAAAACCGCCAGAGACTTGACCGATTCCTCCGCCACCTCCTAAATGTCCAGAGCTTCCAAATCCACCGGATACTCCGCCGCCAAAACCTCCTGAAACACCACCTCCAAAGTGACCGGAGTGATGTCCATCGTGATGGTAGTTAGAGGCCGCACAAATGGCGAAAGTTACGCACAAAACCTAAGCAATAATTATATTTTAATAATAATAATATAAGCACACAAATACTTACCAAGAATGTGTTCATCTTGGACCAGGCGATGGTTGAATGATGATACTGTTTAACGACTGTTGTCTTTTATAGCAATCCTATTGTTAAGTCAATAAAAGTTCAAGATCAGAGGTTTCATGTTAATATACAGAAACGTTTAATTTCTATTTTAACCTTTATACATTTTAATATTGCCTAATATAATATTTGCATATATTTGTGGATTCATTATATAATTCAATGTTGATGATGTTACCAAGGCAAAAATAAATAATAATATAGTCAATTAAAATATATATTTTAAATAAATGGATAACATTCTTAATTGAAACCAAATATATTATACTACTTTTTAGATGTAATCAAATTACAAATTGTAAGAACAATTACAAACGATGCACTCAAAATATCCTAATTCATACTAATCCAGTGGTTTCCAAACTTGAAGTTACTCAAAAGTATGTAATCATTTGGCGCCTCCACTTTCATAAAAGGAACGCGCATTACAGCAATATGGATAAGAGCACAGGAATGTTTCTATACTTGCTGGATTCCCCAAACATTCAGCTTTCATATGCATATATTGGATTCATTTTATCTATTATAGTTTGAAATGTGAAAACACTGCTTTTTCGAACGTTTTAATTGCAATTTTTCAACTTTGAACGCGTATTACAGCAATATGGATTATGTATTACAGAGCACAGGAATGTATCTATACTTTAGCAGATATTAGGAAAATTGCTCACTGCTACTCCCTAGGGAGGCGCGCTTCACAGTTTGGAAAACGCTGTACTAATCACATACACAATTTCGTTACAAAAAAAGGGTAGTATAGTACAAAATTTCCCGATTTTTACTCGTATAGTGAAACACATTTTCCCATATAAACTAATGAAATTACGATAATGCGTTCCTTGCCGAAAAAAAAGTATAACTTGCTCTCGAATTTTAATAATTTTGCTTTTTATATCTATGGTTCTTTCTATTCTTTGGCTTTTTATTCGGAGAAATGCAAGTGTTATTAAATTTTGCACAAAAAAAACACAAATAACATGTCTGAACACAAGGGTGGAAATTTTGTGATCACAAACAACACTAAGATGCAACTAAAATGACCACTAACACCAGGAACTATTTTCCAATTCACACATGGTGAAGTGACTTTATATTTGTTTATATTACTTGTATCAATTCGGGGACTTGGTGGAGATACTTTTAATATTTGTTTATATAAAAAAGCGTAAGTGTGTTTATATATTATAAAAATGGTTGTACACAATACATTTGTGTTTTGCATTTACAGCAAACACAAATTATATTTGCAAAATATATTCCGCTTTAAACAAAGTTGACAAAGAAAATTGAAGATTATTAATATATTCAAAAATACACATAATATGTGTACACAAGTTTTAACAATGATGTAGAAGGCGCGCAATCTGGGACTTCTCTTCTCATCGTCACTCGTTATGCAATTAATTTTGCTCCTTATGCGAGGTGCTTTTTAAGCGAACGAGCTCTTGCTGTTATTTTTTTAGTAAAAATATAAAATATAATTTTTAGCACAAATTTTATTTATTTGGACTGTATAAGATTTTTAAAAATTATATACTGTATCAAAATGTTTAATATTCATTTCAAAATAACGAAAATCCAATTACTATCTCACATATTTCAAGATTTTTTATATATAGGTATTTAATATTAATCTTTGAAGCCGAATTAAAACAAAAAGTGCTACTAATATTCAACCTTCTTTTCTTTTACCACATAATTAAATTCGTAGATTTTTTCAATTATGATGATAAAAAAGTGCAAACTTTCTTTGAAACAAATAAAACGCACCACATATAGCTTAAGTTTCAAAATTGAATATACACTTTTTGTGCTTTGGACTTTTTTCGAAAATAATTTAATTTAATAACTATCGTTTGTATGGCATATAATTTTATATTACGGGTTTTACGTTCAATAAACATTTTTCAACAGTTTTATTAGTAAATATTTTATATATTTTTTCATGAAATATACTTAAACTAATGTGTTTCGTATTTAAATAAGTTTAATTGGTATTTTTTGTAAACTAATAATATTCATCTTTCATTGAGACCAATTACAATACATACATATGTAGACAGGCGTTGCTCATTCAATGTATCACGATCCAAAATTTGGTCACATTAAATGTTTAACACGTTAAGGACGGCGCTTTTCGGGTTGTCTGCCCCCAAAAAAATTTTCGTGGACGCCTATGGACTGAGAGAAACGTCAAATATCTTACGTCAATTATAACCTTTAAACGTTTAAATTTTTCTTATACATTTTTTAATGATATTGAAGCAATTTATAACAATTGTGGGAAAAATATTAAAATTTTCATAAAGTTGTTAAATATTGCGCACAGTGTTATGATCACCAACACTGTGTATCAAATGTTTATGAAGATGTTCTAAAAATAAATAAACATTTGTATT